ACTAACAAAAATCTTTGATAAAATTATTTTAATCAATTAGCTTCTTCAACACTGAAGTCTCAATATTTAAATTTTTTGATGCAGATGTCCTGTTGTCAAGCAGAAAAAATAACAATACATTCATAGAAATCAAGAAAAACTTGTGTAGGATTAATATGAAATTACCAAATGACACATAGAAATACAAATACACTTTGTTACATTTGAAATTCACATGGAAATTCAACCTCTCATAATTTATGAAAATTATATCAGATAGAAAGGATTAGTTATATGCAAGACAAACATTGAAAAAATTGTAGAAGCCTACTGATGGCTTAAATTAATTTTTCAGTGTGTTCATTGAGAAGTACTTTAAAAAACCTGTCTGGTCAAGTGGATTAAATAAGAATTTTAGACATTTAAAATCAAGGGAAGAATATGTTTTTTTAAAACATTGATTTTAAATATCTAAAATTCTTATTTAATCCACTTGACCAGACAGGTTTTTTAATATTTTATCTTTTATACTTTGTAATCCCTCTTAAAAAATTATTAGAAAAGTGCACATAAGACAAGCATCTTACATTTTTTTTCATTTGAATATTGAATCTATACTAAACTTTATATAAACATATATACATAAACCATATTTTGCAGCATATGAAATGAACTTCTTCACACACAATAAAAAAATACAACATCTAAATAGAAAAATCAATGTATGAGTCAGAGTCCAGTTTTGAATCACTAAATTCCTTTAATTTATTGATCCAGGCAATGTTAGAATGAATATATAGGATATGCTTTTCAAACATATTTTGTGGTAACTTTAGAGTGCTTTCTATATTTGATAATTTTTCTAATGTCAGAGGTACTCAGAATAAATGAATATGGTAATTTCTTCTCTTCCTTTAATAAGGATACTAAGAAGCTTGTCCGTGAATATGAGAGGATTATATTAAAAATAAGTAGACAAAACTTGTCTAAATTATTTAATGAGACATGTCTTAATGAAAACATACTGCCAAAATATATGCAGGTATTTTAAATCTTTATAAATATTTCAATAGTTAAACATTTTTTTTTTAGATATAGTTAAAAAAATCTTTTTAAACAACATCTAAAATATTATTACAGTTAGATTTACATTAAAAATATTCGAACACAGTGGCATTCCATATCATGTGATGTCTGCATCTCGCGACGGATGCTACTTGTAAACAAACCTCTAAAAACAGTTATTTCTGAAGAAAGATCGATGTCAATCTGAAATATCAAATATAAATAAATACTTTCATAAAAAACATTATTATTTTTTAATTTGCAACTTTTTAGTTGTTTTTTTTCTCTCTCTCTCGGTCTCTCTCGGTCTCTCTCTCTCTCTCTCTCTACATATATATATATATATATATATATATATATATATATATATATATATAAAAACACTACAGTTCAAAAGTTTGAGAGAACCTCTGGTAATTTTTTAAATATTAGAAATTTTATCATGAAAAAAGCATTTTATGATTAAATTTTGCTCTTGACAAAATATCCTCCTTTAGCCTTAATTACTGCAACACAAACTTTTGGCATTCATTATAAATTTCAGTATAAATTTGATAATTGATTCCATTCTTTTTTCAATGAATCTAAGAGCTCTTTTTAATTTTTTTTCACTCTTCTATCAAGTTCATTTCATGCTAATTCTGGGGGTGGCTTCAAACTTTTGAACTGTAGTATATATATATATATATATGTGTGTGTGTGTGTGTGTGCACATGATAACTAGCAGTTTCACACCTCAAGCAATCTTCAGGCCATGAAACTAACATTCACCATGTAGTATTGCTTTCTATAAGTATATCTATAAATGCTCTATCTCTTATATGTAGCATTGATCCTAAAAAAAATAGAAAATTTTAAACAGCATATATATATATATATATATATATATATATATATATATATATATATGTGAAAAATGATATACTATATTTCAGGGATAGAGCATATATAAACATAAAAGTGGACACTGAGGTCAACACAAAACAGCAACAGTATTTTTTGTGCTTGAACACAATCTTCAGGCCTGAAAAATTGCATTCAAGCATGAAACATAGTATTACCACTCGGTGTTGACCTCAGTGTCCATTCAGAGTTGATTAATAAAGATTATATTTTCTACATAGATACCAGTTCAAATGTTATTTTTATTCAGAAAAATTTGCAATAAAAATATTCTTTTCTATTCTATGAAATCAAAAATTCAAAAGCCAATAAACTCAATTCAGTCGTTTGTGAACAATGTTTATAATATACTGGCTGGAAATTCAATAGAAATTTTATGCTGGGGAATGTGAAGCAATTTATTATTTTTATAAACAAGAAATTAACAAATGAATTTTAATTTAGTATCAGAGCAATAAATTGGATGCCAACACCCAAATTTAATATCAATGAATTGATTATACAAATGTCATATCTCACTAATTTGTTTATTCTAATATAATAACCTACAGTAATTTTATAAAAAAATTATAGTCTATTGCCAAACTATAAGCTCTGAGAAAATGTAATTTAAGATATTAAATATTTTACATTAAAAATAATACTGATGTAAATTATGTAATTAATATCCTGTTTAAATAAAGAGCAATAACATCCACGAAAGAAAATTATAATTACAAGATAAAATAAAGAAGAATATAAAGAAATCTTAAGAAAGCTCAAGGAAAATATTGTACAAATGTTTAGATAATGTCATATACTGTTAAAAATATTTTAAAGAAAAATTTGAGAAGGCAATTTTTATGAGTAAAAATACTCATTTTTTGTTTTCAAGGTTTTATGATTAAAAATACTCATTTTTTGTTTTTAAATTGAATTAACTGTAATGAGAGAAAATATGTTGATTCAACCAAAGCTAGTCATGTATTGAATTTGAGCAATTGTCCAAAAATCCATGTTAATCATCTATAAGATTGGTTTAGATAGATTCATAAACATACCAGATTTCACATCATTTATGGTGCACTTTTTCCCAAAAGACTCCTCTTAAAATTACTCCATATCTTATATCTCAACTAAAACCTAAACACCCTCATTCAGAATTAAATATATATGATTATACATGATTAAATTGAGCTTACAATTCAAAACAATGTTCAAATATATATATATATATATATATAAGCAGGGCTGTATCTTTAATTGAATATTCTTAGTTTTTTCCAAAATATTCCTTGCCAAACTAGAAGTACAATGTTATATGTTGGCAAATATGGTAAATTATTTTTTTATAACTCAGAACCATAACAGTCAGGAGAAAAAGGGTCTTTTGATGTTTTAGAATTTCAAATGTGTTTCAAGATGAGTAAATGATCAATGAACATTACTTATCTGTTAATCAGATTCACTTCCATAACCTCAAGTCCAAACTTGCCAGAAGAAACAGATATAACCTTGCTGAGTATTAAAAATGAAAAAATAGTTACTAAAAGAGTTTTCTCCCCTTGAAGTCAGATTTCTTCCTTCAATTGGAGATTAATATGCATTAATTAATTTATTGGAAAGTATTACACTATAAATCTCATTATATCCTGATCACCAAAAGGTAATAATTAATTATTTTATTAGAGACATGAACTTGTTAACCTGAGTTTCCTTTTAACTGCTGATTAAATTGCTACTTCAATTAAAAACATTGCCAAACATCAAAAAGAAAATTCATAAAGTAATCAAACAAGAGTAGTATTCAAATAATAAATAATCCATTTTAGTAAATCAGAAATTTCCAAGGATTGTAAGGTGCATTGGCATGGGATAATAACTAATGAGCTAGTCTGGTTCATCATTACTAGTGAGGAGTGAATTTAATCTTTACTGGATGTCCTATAATTGTGGCCTAAACTAAACTTTGTATATAACAACTTTCAATGAAGACAAACTAAATACTTGAATAGTGAATAAAAGCATACAATAATTATCAATTTGTATTTATTTATATATTTTCTGTTCCTTTTGATAAAGGGAGATAACTTTATATTTTCTTCATATATTTCCTGTCCAATCTGAGGACCTAATAAGACAGACTGAAATACAAGCAGTAATAATAAGTGCTTATTTACAAGTAACAATTACTTTGAAACAAATGTATCACAAGGTTGCTGCAGAAAATGCATCAGTCACTATATATTTTATCTATATATGAATTATGATAACGTAGATTCAACACACTTTTACCCTCTACATATATAATTGAATAATTATTAGGAGATAAATTTAGCATTAATATAGTAGCTGTAATTATAAGTTCTCGTATTAATTAAATACATTTTAGTTTTGCACTGGTATCCTAAGATTCAACACAAACATGCTCTATAAAGGTAGAATTAATTTTAAATAATTCCCTGTTTTACATTATTTTGTGTATTTAAGAAAATTTTGTCCAGTGAACATCATAAAATGGAAAATTCCCTTGAAAAAGGAGATTAGAACGAGAGTGAAAATGAAGACAGATAGTATGCCTATCCCAGAATCAGATACAGGCATTATAAAAGGCTGATAGGCAAAGATATTCACAGGCATCATAGGAATGCTGTGAAGCAATAAGAACATAAGCCAGGAGATGTGAGGTTCAGAGGTGAACTAATGAGACAGAAGAAGCAGGTAATAGGAGGAGAGCAGATATATGAGAGAGAAACAACACAAAGAAAAGAAAATGAAACAGAGGAAGAAGTGAATGCAAGAAGAGAAAATATGAGAATGTTAAATGGAAGAACATCTTCAATAAGAAATGGGAGGAGGAATGAGAAACCTGGCGCCATGACAACTGCACAAAACAGAGTTCATACAGTAAAAAATCCTATGTTCACTAAAGTCAACTATCAACAACATAACTGCAGTGGATAAAAAATAAGCAGTCATATTTGTCAAAATGAGTACACTAGCAGTGAAAATAAAATACTGAACAATAATTAAATATTAAAAATTAAGTTTTATTTTAGAAAGCAAATCAGGCTTACAGTCATATCACATTGAAACACTGGTTTTCATCCAATCACCAAAGTTAAGCAACACTGAGCCTAGTCAGTACCTTGATGGGTGACCACTTGGGAATACCTGGCAGATGGTATAAGGGATAACAGGTTGGAATTGGAGAGTGGAGTCAAGTTCATTATATTCACTTATTTGCAAATACCCTTGAGAGAAATATAAATCAACCTCTTCTCCACCCCTAGCTATGGGCCAATTAGTAAGACTTGTTTCAGCAAATCATTATTATTTCAAAGAAAAAAAATCTTATAATATAAAAAATATTTTCTGGTTTTATATAACCTGCAAAAGGTTGGTAAGCCATAAAAAATCAATTAATCAATCAATTAAAAAAATATTTTCTTTAGGATACAAAATATCTCAGATTCAACAGGATATGTGTTAGGATACAGTCTTGGCAATTAGAGTTACTTCATATATGAGGTCTGTCTAGAAAGTAATCAACTATTTAATATTAATAAAAACATAGCGCACCTATGATTTCTTACTCCTCCTTCAAAGTACTCCATTTGGGATCCTATACACTTATCTCAAAACAGGCTAAAAATCCTCTTTCAGCAGAGTTGACATGTCATAAAATCAATCAACCAATAAACTCTTTTAGGATCATCATCTGCACAACTACCTCAATCACATTTTTATTCTTGTTCAGTCGGTCAATGGAAACACAAACTTTGGGAAAAGCCAGAAGTCAGAAGAAGCCAAATCTGTGGCTGTTATATTTGGAAGATAAATTGTTTTAGCAAAAAAATCTGCATGAGATAAAAAGAATTTATTTATTTGGTCATTGTCAATGCAACACCCCACACATTACATAATCTCCATTAATAGTGCCTCACTGTTAACCTGAGTAACCTCAAAAGAATGTCTGTTCATGAATGCAAAGTAAGATCTCCTCTGACTGATTGCAAAGATACATCAATATTGTGCAACTATCTCCCAAGGTGTTCAAAATAATTTAATATGGTCTTGATATATTTCATATTGTTGGACATTTACAAGATTTTTGGATTTTATTTTTCTGTATGGAATGTAAATCTATCCTTCAAGAAAATAACAATACTTTTGTCCATTTTTGAATATCTGAAGAATTCCCTCTATAGAATAGAGAATTATCTTTAAAAATTGCTATTTCCTATGTATTCTACAAGATTTGAATGATTAATGCTTCAAATTACTTCAGCTACTATGTTTGATAGTGAGCTGCTGGTGGTTCAAACTAAGTTCTTGTTTAAGCCATTTTCAAATCTACACTCTTCTAATGATTGAAAATGGAACAAATGAGGACTCATGTGAAAAAACTGCAATGTAACAAAACTTCAATGGTCTATCCACAATCTCAAATGTCTTACTGCTGGATATTGACTGGTTCAAGAAGTGATGTTATTTTAATTTCTCTATTATTATTCCAGTTCTTGGTCATACAAAAACCTTTCTGATGGCCCTGTTTGACTTGAATGAGATACAGTGTTCTCCTTTCCTTACCAAGGAATTGTACAAGCATGTTGCTCATAGACAGAATTAGAATTCCAATTCCATTGTTATTTAAAGCTAACTTTTGGCATAAACAACAATATATCACTTTTGAAAGCTAATAATTTCCAGACTTTAAGAGTAATAGACATTGCAAAGTGATTGTGAAATTATTTCTCATGTTCTTTTTACTACATTTGGTAATTATCAATGAAATTATGTTAAATATATTATTTTTAAATGTCAAATTTGGTTTCTATTACTCTTGGATTTCCCTCTGTTAACATCAATGCAATTTTAAAAATTTGACTCATAAATAACTTATAAGAATCATTGATTGAATATTATGCCTACCTCGTAATATTCCCATTATATTTAAATGACTTGAAATCAGAATTTTACTTCTCTAGGACTAGTTTTGTGATAATGGGCCTTATTAGACTGAAGTATTATGATACACAGACATACTTTAACAACATCTAGTAGAAAAGGTGGATGATACAACCACCACCTCCTCTTTATGATTATGTATTGAATGATACAACCATCATCTCTGTACATAAGGTTAATGTTAAATTTATGGAGGAGAAAAAAAAAAAGCTAAGATTTTCAGGAAGTTTGAGATCCTAACTTTATAAACTCATCAATCAGCAGTCATCCATGAAAATCTTTCTGGAAAGATTTTAATCTCTTGTGTTAATATGTCTTTGTATTTGGTGTCATTTTTCACATGCAACCTCATTGTTCAATAAATATTATTTTCATTTGTCCACAGCTCAGAGAAGATTAACAACTATTTTTATTACTCTTTCAATAAATCATGATTGTTTAAATTGTAAAGTTTTTACCCAAAAGAAATCATGATACATGACTTTCTTTTTTGCTGATTAACAACTAAAAAAATTTAAACAATGTCCAGGTATTGTTGAACAGAAACAAATCTGCATGTCCCACATTTCTTCTATACACTGTTTTATTCTACTGAGAAGGTAGAAAAAAGCCTTGTCTTTCTTGAAATTGATGGAAATGGTAACTTGTGTATATGAATATATACAGACAATTAAATATGTAATTATAAATGAGACGACTGAGATGTAATAGATTTGTAGTCAAAATGTACTTCTATTTCTTATTTTCTTACAGATTCACTTATTTGTTAATCACTTGATGCTGTCCAAAATGAATAAAATGGAAGCTATAAAAACACAGCAATAATTTTCTCAAGGTTTATAATTATTTACTGGGGAAAATATTTACAGGAATTAAAAATTCAATTCAAGACTTTTTTAAATTGTAAAGAAAAGCTTAGAAAACTAGGATTCTGTAGAAGTTTCTTTGATCAAACTGATGAATGGCTACTTTGAATTGATGTAGTTATTACTCAGTAGGTTTGATTCTTTTTTATCAATACCCTATGCTCAAATGAAATGAAGTGTATGTATGTAGATGAAGATGTGACTGATTTGAAATAAAAACAATAATTATGTAATTATATGTTTTACTATCAATCAACAAAATCTATTTTATATCTATCTATATCTAAAATTCTTGATAAAAATTTCTTGGTTCACAAAAATCTGACCAAATTGTTCAGATTAATTTCAAATTATTTTATAAATTATAAATTGTTAATCACGATATTTCATTACCTTTGTAAATGTATATATAAATATATTTATTTACTAATTATCTTTTTTCTAAAGACAATTATAGATTGAAGATAGACTAAACCTTGTTTAATTAAATCTTAGAAATCTTAAATTTTTTACTTTTAAAAATTTTCATATCAAGACTTTTACTTTTTACAGAACAAATTAATTTTTATTTTCTTTACTACAAATTTTAAACTTTTAAAATATTGTTAAAAAATATATAAAAACATTTATTTAATGTCATTATAAATATAATTTATGTTTCAAATCTTGTTAATTTCAATATTTATATATAAAATAACAACGTTAATACATATATAAAATGTCTTTAAATAAATAAATTGTTACTATATTTCTTAAATATCGACTATATTTGTTTAATTCGAAGATAATAAACTAATTTAAGATGTACCTTTTCTATCAAGGTTAAAAAGGCATATTTTTTCAGGATAGTTCAACTTATCTGAAATAAAATATTTTCTATGAAATTATTCAGGTTGGTAAATGTTATTTAATACTTTTTTTAGCATCTTAAAATGTATCTATAAAATTAGACGTCAAACATAAATTTAATGTCTTTTGCACAATTTATATTTGTTGATAACTTTTTAATTACAGCAAAAATAGTTGAAAAATGTTTTAACCATTTATGAAAATTTTACCCTTGTCTACCATAAGAACTTTTTTTTCATTTTTTAATAAAAATTTAAACAATATTTTCAAATTTTATAAATTTAATATGAATCATAAATATAGCATTTGCTTATTTGTTCTATAAAAAATTTAAATATGGATATATTTAAAAATAAAGAACAAATTAATTATGACGTACTTTTTAAAAAAATTTATGAATGTACTGAAATTTTAATGTAAATTCGACCTGTCTACCATTTTGGTGGCTTTATTTATTTCCTTCCAGATAGATGCCTGCCTGTATGAACAAATATTTTCTATTAATTTCTTTTTTAATTGCATAAACTGATTTACTTAAATACTTGTTCAAAAATAACAATTTAAAAATCCCCAAAATGTCTTTAAATAAATTGTCGTGTTTAACATATGATTTTGTTTACATGACACGCCAAGCAGTAATGAATGTACGAGATTCATCTTAGTTTATAACAGTTTTAAAATCTTTTTTTCATTAAAAATGCATGTCAAATATTTTGTCATGCAGCAATCAATTACATTTTTCTTTAGAAATTTATTTTGAACAATTTAATAAAATTTTCCTCATCTAAATGTTAAATACTTTTAATATTTCATAAATAAAAGAATTTAATAAATAAATTGTCAAAAATATTGACATTGTATATAAACATTTCTCAAATTCATATTTTTAACTTAGATATACACTTTTACAATTTTATCTAGTAGCCTAATTTAACAAATAGCTTAAGCAAAACATTCAAACTAAATGATGGAAAGATTTCTTGGATTAATTACTTAAAACCCATTACATATTTTTTCATATAAGATGACATATCATTTAAAATTTTTTCGGATTTATAAATGTAATTTACATGTTTTAAACATGCTTTTTTTTCATTAAAAATAAATTTTTATTACATTTCAAGAAATTGAAGCTTTTAATAAATTTATTTTTCATTAAAAGAATATGAAAAGACCAAAATATTATGATTTTTTAATGTTTTATATATTGAATTTGAAATATAGACAGACTCTGAGTTAATTTGATAAGATTCAGATAAATAGTTTTATTATTTTAAATGGACGATTAATCTTTAAAAATTTAAACTAAACATTTATTTATTTTTCATTAAAGATTTTTACATATATTTTTCCATTTTTATTAGAAAAAAAAATATTAATCAATATGAATTATAATGTCCATTGAATAAATCTGATTACAAGATATATACATGAACCAAATTATGTTTAAAGAAAACAGACAGTGATTTTTTATTATTATCTTGGACTGTCAAAGATA